TATTATTTTAAGTATTTTACTTTCTTTAATTGAAGTATAGCTGACATACAATATCACATTCATTTCAAGTGTACAATATAGTGATTCTAAAATTATATACATTACAAAATGCTCACTACCAGAAATGTAGTTACCATCTGTCACCATACAAAGTTATTGCAATATTATTGACTATATTCTCTATGCTGTACTTTTCATGCTTATTCTGGTAGTATCCCTGAGAACCATCAGTGGTTGGTTGTGGGCTGAGGAACAACTTCAGACTTATCCTCTGGACTGTGAAACAAGTGGAATAAAATACTGGCTTTTTGGACAAACGGGGAAAGTAGCTCTCAATCAGAGCCCCTTTTCAAAACCGTAAGTTTGTGTGAAAACTAAAGAAATAGAAATACTGACAAAAACCCTAAGCTTTGAAAGACCTAAAACCTGTGTCTTTATCCAGAAAAACTTTTCATGCAGTTCTGAAGCATACTCACATCTCAGAGTATGGAGACATAGCACCTGGTGTCCATTACAATACCATTAATCTCTTTGTGGGATCATAACATTTTAAAGGACTTGCTTATCAGCACCATGGCTGCTCTGGCAAAACAAAGTTTATTCTTTGTCAAGTGTAGAAGAGAAAATGAAGATGACCAAGCTGTAGAAGCCAATATTCTCAAAAAACCAGCTCATTCTCTTGCCATACTTAAAGGCCTAATTTTCAGACCATGGAGTATCATCCATAGATGGTTATCCTAAGGGAATATGTTCCATACATTTTGCTTTCCTGGCTCTGCATTTTTTAGGCATTTCCCTACATTGTTAATCTCCTTTCCATTTATTCAGTCTTTTATTGCCTGTTAATTGCTGGAGCTATTGTTATAAAAATGAAGAAAATGTGGTCCTTCTCATAAGAAGCTCATAGAAAACTGTGATGATTCTCCAAGTTAAGTGAGCATGAAAATCAGCTCAGGAGTGATAGAAATGGAGCCTCTCCCTGCAAGATTCTGATTTGGAGGTTGGATGTGAAGCCCAACCACTTTTCACTTTACACCCCTGAGTGTTTCTGATACAGATGGTCTGCAGACCCCATTGTTCAAACCACTGGTGTGCAGGGAGGGTGCAGCACAGTGCCAAGTATCTAGTAATCATGTAAGTCTTGCTTCCTGGATGAAAGGTCCATTTCTAAGTGGGGGTTGTGTTTTTAAAAAGACATGGACCAACATACCGATCACTGGAGAAAGGAGAATATTTTTGGAGGTGGAATGCTAGGAGCAAAGCTTCGTCGATAGAATAAGCACATGATGTATGGGGAGACACTAAATAGCCTGGCTGAAATAGAGCAAAAGATGCTGCATAAGGAGAGAAGAGAAATGAGTGGCAAATGGGAGGTGGTGGTGGCCATGACAGTTGCCAGAAGGTGACTGGCTGCTAGCTGGAGAGGAAGCCTAGAGATGGTCAGAGATAAAGGTATCCTCGTGCTCTCAGTGGGCAGCACAGACTGCCCGCTCTTCTCCCTCCTCCACTGTTCTGTCCTGCCTTTGTCTCCCTGCACTCAAGGAGTCCACTGGGCTCAGCCTTGGTTCCCCATCCTCATGTCAACATCCTGGAGCCCTCTGAAGGCACTAGGCTGGGAAATGGTTGAGTTCCATTTATTCATTTCCCAGCTCTCATCTGTCCTGCCTTGCCACTCGGGCTGCTGCGTGTTAGAGTCCGGAGTGGAGAAGCCACAGTGTGTGTGGGGAAGCCACATGGAAGGTTCTTGAGGAGCTCCAGATGGGTGGTCTTTACATCGGGAGATGGAGAGAAGCAGAGATGAATGAGATAATATTTTAAAGGTACAAGCAGAGCTTGGTGAGGATGTAGAGGTGATGGTAAGGGCGGAGGCAAGGAAGTTGGGCCTTTTCCTTAGGAAAAAGGGGACACTAGGACAGTGGTGGAGCACGGAATTAATGTAGGGATGCCTTCTCCCAGGTTAATAAATGTAATGTAAATGTGGGGCACGGTTGCTGCTTCTAGAGGTGAGGGGCTGGGGTATATGACCTGAAGGGCATGTAGCCCCTTTCCTCTGAGGGGAGTTCAAAGCATCTTCACGGGTATGCCTCAGGCCTTTCTACCCATCAATGCTCCTCTTCCTCGCCTTTTCCCTTCCCTCCCTGAGCACCAGCTCAATCCTCAACTCCTCCCAGAGATCTTGACCAGAGAAATCTTGATCAGCTAATAATCTGCAAGGACCTACAACCTTCAGCCTTTGTATGCTCCGGAGTGGGACTGAGAGAGGGACCCCAGCAGGCGACCTGTGGGATGTACCACAGGACTCAATGCATTCTGGGGTGAAGGCCGTGGGCAGGTGGGTGGTGAGGGTTCCGGGGCATCTTCCACAAGCCCTCCTTAGAACTGTCCTCCAAAGAATTGCTGAGCTTGCTTTTTCATCAGTTTGTGAGTCTGGCTCATTATAATAACATCATAAGTTTCAGTTTTTGTGGTTTTTTCCCCCCAACCTCATAATTTTTTCTGTTAGAGGTATATTTTTTTATTGTGGTAAAATACCCATAAAACTTACCATTTTTAACTGTGCAGTTCAGTGACATTAGGTACACCCACATTACGCAGCCATCATCACCATCCACCTCTAGAACTCTTTATCTTGAAAACCTGAAACTCTGTAACCATTAAACACTAACTTCCCATTCTCTCCTCCCCACAGCCCCTGGACACATTCTACTTTCTGTCTCTGTGAATCTGACTACTGTAGGTGACTCAGATAAGTGGAATCATACAATGTTTGTCCTTTGTGACTGGCTTATTTCACTTAGCATAATGTCCTCAAGGTTCATCCATCTTGTAGCATGTGTCAGAATTTCCTTTCTCTTTGGGGTTGAATTATAATTCCATTATTATGTCACAATTAGTATATATCACAATTTATATATCATCCATTCCTCTATTGAATGGGTATCTTGGTTGCTTCTATGCTTTGGTTCTTGTGAATAATGCTGCCATGAACATACAATAAGGACAAATCCGTATTCAAATCTCTGCCTTCAGTTATTGTGGGCATATATTCAGAAGTGGGATCATATGGCAATTTTATGTTTAGTTTTTTGAGAAACCGCCATACTGTTTTCCACAGTGGCTGCATCATTTTACATTCATTGACATTACCAGCAGTGCACAAGGGTTCTAATTTCTTTACATCCTTACCAATACTTGTTATTTTGTTTTTTTAATTTTAGTTTTTTATAATAATCATATTAATGGGTGTGGAGAGGAATCTCATTGTGGTTTTGATTTGCATTTCCCTAATGATTAATGTTGAGCATCTTTCCATATGCTTATTGGTCATTCATGTATCTTCTTTGGAGAAAGGTCTATTTTGAGTGCTTTGTCCATTTTTCAATTGGGTTTCTTCTGTTGTTGAGTTCTAGGAGTTCTTTATATGTTCTGGATATTAATCCTTTATATATACTGTTTGCAAATGTTTTCTCCCATCCTGTGGGTTGCTCTGTTGATAGTGCTCTTTGAGCACACTGAAGTTTTTAATTTTAGTGAAATCCAATTAATTTTTTTCTTTTATCAAGTGTGGTTTTGGTGTCATATCTGTAATTCAGGGTTTTAAAATCACTTTTTTCAATCAAATATTAGAGCCAAAATTCTAATCTTCAGTTAGAGAAATTATTACACAAAGAAATCGATGGGCTTACTGCATCACACCATTGGTTAGTAAGGTTCTGAGCTGAGAACTCATCACCTGGGCTGCTTTCAGCGACCCTCCCTTACCCTGCAAGACAAGCAGGCAGCTTGGTGAGAACTGGAACAAGGCTCTGAAGTATGCTTCCTGTAGCTTCATCAAGCCCTAGCGTGGAAAAGAAGAATGCCAGTTTTTGTCTTTTTCTGTGCTAGCCATCTCCAAGTTTTTCCTTCATGTTCAAAAAAGAAAGCTTTTGGAATGGAGAATCTGTGAAATATTCTGGGCACTGCCTTTTACTGTAGGAAAGAAGTCCCTGTTTAGAATGAATCAGTGGGTTGGTTACACCGTGTTGCCAACTGCTCAGGAGAGGAAATCTGAAAAGCTGCAGCCACTGCCCAGCCAGCACTGCGTTGCTTTGGGTGTATTAAGTGCGTGGTGATCTTTCGTTTCATGGTTGTTGAAAGAAGTTCCTCCGCATCTTCCTCCCCACACCTCCACTCACCACATAGTTTATGTTTTAGAGCCTAAAACAATAGATCTGTTTGTTCTAAAAGGTGAGATGACAGTGGGGCAACACGATGGGCCACAGTGAAAGCCGCTCAATAGCCCAGCCTCCTTTCCTAGTAAAACTGGAGTCAACCTGATCGTTTCAGGGACGGTGGGGGAAAGAGTGACTTTTCCAACCAACGGGAGTGTGGTGGGTTTTGGGGGCTGTTTCTCTTCTTGAAGGTCCAAGATTTGTAACCTGCTTCAGGTTCTGCAGCAAAAGCGTCTAACGGTGACTTCGAATGTAGGCGCAGCTGCCCCCGGGTGGCAGTGAACACGCTCCCTGGTGCCCGTTTCCCTCGCGCGGCAACACGCGCACGCATGGAAGCTTTGGGGCCCGAGGGCGTTCTCCTGCGCAATCCTGGAACCCTCCGTGTCCACAGCCGTCAGGGGAAGGGGCAGGCCTCCTCTGCCTACCGGGGACACTGCTGCGCCTCAGCTCTCCCGCCCCACACTCGAGGTCGTTTGGCGTCTAGAAACGAGCTCAGCAGCGGCACCGAGGTGAGCGCTTGGCCGCCCCCGAGACGCTTTCTCCCGACCTCGTTCCGCCGCTGGTCCACCGACAAGGAGACAGAACCGGGCGAGCGAGGGCGCGGGGCTGAGGCGCGGCGAGAAAGCGGGCGCGCAGGGCCAGCGCGGGCCGAGGGCGGGGCGGGCGGGGGGGGCGCGGGAGGCGTGGGCGCGGCGGGCCGCGCGCCCCGGAGGCCAGGGGGAGGGGCGCGGGCGGGAGCGGCACCTCCCGCCCGGGGGGAGCGGCGCGCGCGGCGGCCCCGAGGCTCAGAGCGCCGAGCGCGGCCGGCGGCGGCGAGGGAGAGCTGGGCGCGGACGGCCGGCGCGTGGCGCGGCTGCCATGGGCGCGCAGTGAGCGGCTGCTCGGCGCGAACTTCCTCGGCGGCGCGGAGCTCCTGACTGGCGGCGCGGCTCCTCGGTCACCATGAAAGGTAGGGCGACGGCGGGCCGCGGGGCTGTGGGACTCCGGGCGGGACGGAGCGCATCCCCGAGCGAACTTTCCGCGGGCTGCGGGGACGCGTCGCGGGGTGGGGGCGTGCACACCGGGGGCGCTCCCCGGCCCCGGAGTCCGCACAGCCGGAGACCTGGAGGTTGGGGGATTTGAAGCGTGTAAGAGCCCCTCCCCGTTGTGTCTCTGCAAAGTAGTGTGAAGTCCTAAGTCGTTGTTTACGGATTCCAGTTCCCAACTTTTTAATTGAAAAAATATGCCGAAGAGAGTGGAGGCACCCGCCTTCCCCGCGGTGCGTCTCCACGCTGCGGCGCTGCGCGGGCTCCCTGGTCCTCTCTACCCCGCTGGTGCCGGCCCTCCCTGCGGAAGGTGGCCGAGCCGCGGGCCGGTGTCTGCTCCGGGACTCGGGGATGCTCTCGGTGCGCCTCCCCGCATCTGGCAATGATTAGGTGCCCGCGGGGTTCAGCTGGCTCGGGGAGCGCGTTTGGCATCATTCTCCATGAGACCCACTGCCTGAAAAGTTAACTGCCCTCGCTTCCGCGTCCCTTGCGTTTGCCCGCCTGTGAAGTTGGTGTGCCCACGTGTATTCAAGGGTGTCACAAATCATCCTGTTAATCGTCTCTGGGCGGTGTCCTCTGCAAGCCAGTTTAGGAAAGTGTCAGATATTATGGTGCCTTTAAGTGGAATCGCAGGAGTACTTTGCGGGGCAGCCTTCTGTTTAATAGAAACACAGATTTGTCAGCAGAGTCCGGTATCTATGTGAGATAAATACAGCGGCGGTATCAAAGGGACTCCTTTGGGGATGGGCCGACTTGGTGTTCACACAAACTCGAGTTCTTGGATTTGAGCTAGGATAACACGTTTCCGTCCCCGCGAGGGCCGGGCTTGCGTGAGAGCGCTGGTGCGAAATGCCGCCTGGCCGCCGTGGCCGGGGCTCCCGCCGCACAGCCGCAGAGACCACGCGCCGAGACCTCTTGGATTCGCCGGGGTTGCTGTCCGAGGAGTAACCCGGGGAGGCCCTCGCGCTGGAAAAGTAACTTTTGGCTCCAGGTTTCGCAGAAAGGAGGATCTCGCTAAACTATACGCAGCAATAACGTCCTACCAGTTGTCTGTGCTTCCAAGCAAGGCTTTAGGTCTCCGCATCAGATCTTGGGAAGGGAGGGGGCAGGAACTCCAGGTGAAAAGTGGCCCGCCCCAGGGGACGAGAAACAAAAGATGTGATACAATTTTCTGATTAAAGAATGTTAAAAACGCCGGGTGCGTGTTCCTTGTATTTCCACTGTTTTTCTTCTCTCATTTGTATTTTAGGAAACATGTAGTTTCATTAGCTAGAATTGATTCAAGGATCCTTCCAGAAAGGAAAGAGTTCACAGGGCTAAACGTTACTCTGGAGCTCAGCTACTATCGCTTTAGCCAGAAGTTAATCTTATCATTGCTGGTCACCGAGGTCAGTCGTTTTGAACTTTTGGGAAGATAAGCCAGCTGCTCACTCCGTCAGCTCCCGTGTGGGTTCCTAAATCCTGAAAATCTTGTTAGCTTTTGGATGGATAAATGACTATTACTGCAATTTGGGTGTTTTTCAATGTTAATTCAAATCTGCTAATGGAAAACATACCTGAGAGTCCTAAACATATTTTTGTGAGATTAATGCTGCATTCTGGACCAGTTTGTAGACCTCCTGGAGCCGACTCATTGCTGTAAGGTTGCTTAGCAACTATTACTGTGTGGTTTGCATTCATTTGTCTGGTTGGTGAGGTGGGGAACGAAGGGAACTGTAATCATTTTTTTAATACCTACTAAGTGCTATAGGCTCTACCAGTACTCTATCAATTAACCCTCTCAACAACTTTGTAGGTGTTTTAACCCCTGCTTAATAGCTGTGGAAACTGACAAGAAGAAATAGAAACTGGCAAACAGGAGGATGGTAGGCATCTAAAGACAAGCTTTGTCAGTTTCCCTGTGTTGCTTGGAAAGAGCTAGGACACCAGATATGATAACCTCTGGTGCAGACTAGAAGAAAAATGCATCTCAGACAGCTAAATACCCAAGTAACCCGCAGTTGGTACAGCAGCCAGGAAGGGGGTGGAGCCAAGAAATTAGACACAAGCATAGTGTGTATTTCTTAGCCAAAAAGGAAAGCTGCCTTTACCAAGTGGAATTATTTTGACAATTTGCCATAGGTAACCAATCTAGTTTTCCTTGGGTTCATGATTATGTCGAATAGTTTTAACTCATTATGCTTAAGAAAGCCTACGTTTCATTGGAATTTGACTTCCCTAAATGATAGAAGTCAATGACAAGCCTTGCAAATGCTTAACATTAAAGTATCAACTAAAACATTCTTTAACCAGACTGAAAATTAGTGGTCAACTTAGAAGTCATGGAAGTTTATTTTCCAAAGCAAAAATTTAGCTCCTGTGGGAGTTAGATGCCTGTTGGACTTCTCAATTCTGTCGTTTAAACCTGGGACATAGCCCTTGTAATAACCCAGGCTTTTGGAGGTATTTCTGTATCTGCCAGGAGCCACAACGCCACCTATCTGTTGCATTCAGCAAATATCTGTCTCTATTTCCTCCATCTCTGGAGTCTCAAGTACCAAAATAATGACATCATTATTTATTTTCCAGAAGAAAATTACTTGCTCCATTGCTGCAACACTTGAAGATTAAGACATGATGTTGGTTTTAATTTATTGCCTATCTCATTTTCAATTAGCTGTATTCCTTTGTAAATCCATGGTTTTAGATAACACATTCTTTATGAAAGAATCTGACTCCTCTAGAGTTAGGTGCATCATTATTAAGTCACATTTCTAGTGCTGAAAGTTGGGAATATTGGAGAGTTTTAATGCAGCAGCACTTGTTGCCTAAGAGACGGCCAAAAGCAACCACCAGCACAGGGGACAACAGAGGCCAAAGCCACTGTTACAGTTTAATACAGGAAGGAAGTTAATGCTATCAAAGCATAGTATTTAGCTGCTGCTTTTTTGTGCTTTTGTATATAAATATTTCTAGAGTACTGTTTGGTAATAATACTTTAAAAATGCACTAATAAGCAGTATATCCCCCTACTGCCTGTTGTTTTTCTGGACTCACAGTCTCCTTGCTTTCTCAGTGTCTTAAGATTTCTTGTCCTTAACTGGGATAAGCAAAAAGTGTAAGTGCCGACTACATTTAACATTGAAATAATCGTTTTTTCTGAAGGGAAATGGAAACACAATGAGGCCTTTCCCCCTTCACCGATTGGGAATTGGGGCTGCCCCTTCCTCTGGAAGGCATATTTGCAGTCTAATTATACTTTTGACTTTTCATTACTTTGGGGATGCTTGACATTCTTAATATGAGGTTTCATTGTTGCTAAGTATAGATCTTCTCTGTGGTCTCCTATGCAGTTTCCCAAGATTGTTCCTCTGCCCACCCCCCCAACCTCCCAGCCATGTGGCTTATCCACTGTTAATGGTGTGAATGGGGAAAGCTGGCAGATATTAGCTTTCAAGTAGTAGCATAACTAGGTGCCTAATTTTCTGAATTAATGCTTATCTTGTTAAAATATAATTTCAAAACAGTTGATGCTGATGCAACTGCTGCCAAAGTAAGTTAAATGGCCTTTGAATTGTTAGTTTTAAAATGGGAAAACAGACATTTAAATTTTGTGATAGAAAAAGTACATTTTGCCTTGGGTAAAGCCAGCATGTGAATAATCTCTCAAAAGCAAGCCTGACCCATGTCTTCCTTGGTGGGAGAAAGGGTGTGGTCTCAGGAGAGGCAGCCCAGAGCAGGGGCAAAGCACAGCCTTCCTGCAAGCAGTGTGTGCGCACGGTGCTTTGGAGCCTTAGTTGGTGGAGGAAAAATGCAAAGCCTCAGGCACGTGGGGGGAGGGGGACAGCATTCCAGGTCTTCGAGGTAATCTTCTGTGAAGAGAGTCCATCCCCCACCATGGGTCAGCTCTGTCAGGCTCTCCTGCCCCTTCCATCTTCTGCTCTTCTGACTCTCCAGAAGCACAGGCTTATTATCTTAGCTTCTAGAGCTGCTGTCTATGGCCTTGCGGCAGGGAACAGGGTCAAGTGTTGGAAGATAAATGCCAGGGACTGATCCGTATCATGGTTTGTGCTCACAAACAACCTAGGTACAACTGATGGGCCACTTAATATCCCTATTTATTATTTTTCCCTTTAATAATAACTGATGAGGAGCACCTGCCAAGCCAGGCATTATTATTTCCTCCACTTTACAGATAGGAAAACTTATGCCCAGAGAGATTGAGTTATACTTGTCAAAGGACACCCAGCTGGTCAGTGGGGAAATTGGGGTTCAAGCCTCAGTCTGACTCCAGAATCCACGTGTTGCCCCTCTAGCTTAGGGTCCCTCCCAGCCACACCCTAAAATTGCATTCTGCCCGCACATCTTCATTAAGTGCTACTGTGTGCCACACTCCACTAGGTACTGAGTGAGCAAGGTAGAGGAAGTCCTACCATCTGGACTCAGACCTGTAATAACCTGGCATCAAAGGTCTGAAAAAATTGATGTGCTCTTCAGTCAGCTGCTAAAGGAGACGCTAGATGGGAGCTCTTGCAAAGGTAAAGCAGATTCCCTGGGTTGCTGCTGTGTGTAGAGTTTATTTTCTGGAAGGTTTTGCTTAGGACTGGTTGAATTAATGTGAATAGCTCACTGAAACCATCAACTCTGAAAACAGCCCTTGCACCTATCTTGCTGACAGGTTTGCCATGAAGCAAAGGAGACTTTGTCAGAAGTGCCATTTTCAAGAGCAGACTGTAACCACCTGTAGGTGATCAGTAAAAATTTAAAAAATAATAAAAAGTAAATATTTTAAACAAGGGATGGGGAGGTAGAGGCATTCTTCACAGAAAGTATTTCATTTTTCATTGCTGACAGCACAGTTTCTAACCATATCAAACAGCCAGAGCTTGAGGGAGGTAACTTTTCTATCAAACAGTGATTTGATTTCTCTTTACGTGAATGATAT